AATTGATCGTTTTTTTAACAAATATTACTTTTGTTTTCTCTTGATTTGTTCCTATAATAAAATCATTTCTCTCAGTGCTTTAGTAAATCAAAAGCTTTACTTAAATCAGATGTTTCACTTTTGAAAAGTTAACCTCATCTTTCAAAAAATACAATTTTTATTGTACGTGTATATGTATATAATTCTGAATATATATAAGATTTTTCACTTTAACAGAGATCTTTAACAAAGATCTTTAATTTTCAATTGTTCAGGAATCAGAAATTATTAATGCTATAACAATTTTAAGGGAAAAAGTGTCTGTATGATTCTTCGACATGTAGAACGTTGACAAATTTTAAGTATACATTTGTAAAGAGTAAAATGAAGGAATATAAAAGTATCGCGAATTCTATGTTTATCGTTATTACATTTGCTTGCATAATGTCAGTCACACACAATGCACCTCGCGATTCCGTTTGGAAATTCCGTTCGTGAAGCTTGCGACTTAAATAGAATATTTGTGCTTATACAGCAAACAAAAAAGCGATTAGACTTGTAGCTAGCAGCTACGCTTGCAGCCTTAATTATTATTTTATAAGAAATCATGAGAGCTTTGTGCAAATGCTGTTTGATGAATTATAACGATGAAGTCGAATTAAAAGCTATCTCGACAACAATAACTACCAGATGCGATATCTTTCTTGATAGTATTTGTATAAATAATCTTACATACATTTATATCGAGAAAAGAAAGAGTTATGGAATCACTATCATCACTTTATTTTATTAAAATAACTTAGTAAATATAATTCATATAACATAATTACTTTTGGTACAAGTTTATTAGCCATAGAATGATACTAATTATGTTATAAGTAGAACTTCTTTAGATACATAAAATGAACATAATTTACAAAAAATTGAAAAGGGGAAAAAAGATTGCGATTATAGAATAAGAGGGCAAATATGGAATATTATCAACTACATTCACATTTTGTTATTAAATTTAGTTCAATTATATCATTTGAAAGCTACATTTGAGGCTTCCAAGCTAAACTGAAATTCCAAAATTAATACCAACATATTTTTCAAAATTATATATATACAGAAAAAACGATTTTGCTGAAAAGTGTAAAATTTTGCTGAACACAGAAAATAATTTTGTTAGCTCATTAAATTAATTGTGTTGAAAACTAAAAAATGATGAGCAATGCTATAAAAAATTTGTACGTTCTAACAATTAATTTCGATCAAAATTATTTCGATTGTTCAACAAAGTTATTTTTAGTATTCAGCAAAATTTCAGTAAAATCGTTCTTTCCATGTAAAGAATACACATCTGTAAAACTATCTGTTACATGCAAAACTGAAATGCAGCTTTTACAACAACGTAGTAAATACTAATGACTAGTAGCCATATTACTATAACGTCCAAGCAGACTGCGAAGTAAGTTTTACGGTTGATTCCATAATGCAATAACTATAAAAAATATTATAATAATATTCCATAACTATCATTTGTGCCACAATTATTTCCTTTCCTCTACATAATTTTTATTTCGAAATGTTCATAAACATTTTCATGCGAAATGAACAATTTCGCGACGATACATCAAGGACGATACATCAAAGACGATACTCAATAAATGATGCAATCCGATTCATTTTAATCTCTTTCCTCGCGCCGTTTGCGAACGCAGGCAATTAGAGAGGGTCAAATTTAATGATAACCATGAGCGCGTCAACAGAAATGTCGTCATGTAATTGTCAGTGCGGCCACTGTCGGCCGATCACAATTAGACCTGAACTGCCTGCAGGGTAAACTCAACAACTATGTCGATCCTATGTGGTTAGCCGTTTGTCAGAGGCTGTCAAACTGTCGCAGTTGTGGTGAAAAAAAAAAGGAGAGAGGGATCCGAATTAATTTCCTCTGCTTCTCCCGACGATAAATGCTACGCTCGGCGTTGTTCCGGCGAAATAACGCAGGAGCAATTAATACGATCGGAATTTGTTCGAAAGTTAAAAATCGGGCCGATCGTTTATACGAGACGAGAGCAAATGATTGAAGAGAGTACGTGTGCAATCCGCAACACCCTTCGTCTATCCGTTGGACAAGGATAGATTACTGCGGTAATCAATTTTGCCTGAAAGGGCTCGATATCATACACACGTCGCAACAAAATAATGAGATCGCCGCGTTGAAATTCGTCGACGATTGTGCGTGTAAACCAAGTAATAACTCTCGATTAAAATGTGTTAAAGTATCAAGAAATGAAGCCCGATTATGCATCGGACGATTTGATTGAATTGATTACTCATATATCTGCCATTAATTTCATGAAATTATATTTCTATTATTCATTTATCTACATTTTGCTGTAATATACAGGAAAGAAATATAGTATAGTATTGCGCAGCACATCCTATTTTAGCTTTAATATCCTACCAATTTCCAACATCGATAAATGTATTTAATGATAAATGTATGATATGTATTAATTAGTAGATAATTTAATAGCACCGTACAGTGAAACTAATACATAAAGAGATAAGAGATATTCTATGAAAATGTATTTTAAGTTTACAAGTTACATGGAAAGAATAATTTTGTTGAAGTATCTAAAAATTTAGGTAGATATAAATTTAAAAATAGTTTTATTAGTCTATCAAAATAAATATATTGAACGCTTAAACTGATATGTCAGAACTTTTTAAACCACTATTATCATTCTGTCTGAGCATCCATCATATTTTAATAGTTTAACATAATTATTTTCATATCTGTACCTATCTAAATTTTTAAATGCTTCAGCAAAACCATTCTTTCCGTATACAGAAAATTAAAAAAAAATAATTTACTAATAATACAAAATCATGTAAAGCGACAATAATTCAATCACAGTTAATCAATATATAAAACTGTTTTAATAAATATCGTAGAATTGAAAAAGGAATTTCACGTTATTATAAGCGTATCGTTCGTGTATAAAAAAGTATTATATTGTTGCTCGATTTTCATATCTCATATGCTAAAGCCAGATAATATTAACCGCGCGATCGATAGGGCATGACAAAAAGCTAACAAGAAGGGAATGAAAAGTAGATACCACTGGAATGACAATGCCACTCCTGCGGTCTTTGAAGTGCCAAATTCCAGCACTTCATTCGGCGCCAGCGAGGAAATTGCATGAGAGAATTGCGTTTCCTTTGTCCTTTAAACCGAGAGGATATCGCAGGTTGCCTTTGACCTGTCGTTGACCATTACTATTCAGACATAGGATACGTCCAATTGAGAGTCCGATCCTGTTGGCTGTTGTGACAAGTCCATATGATGGTGGACGAATTATGTCTGCATATTACATTACGTGTTATACAATGTGCATAATGCACATTATATATTTTTAATATAATATTATAAATATCATAAATATTGTAATTAATAAAAAATATAATATAAATATAAGAATATTTTTTTCGCAATAAATTATTTACAGATTTTAAGATTTCCATCTAATTGCTAATCTTTAAAGATGCTTATTAGCATAAAAAAATTATTAAATTGTTTGTTATTTAATAAAGTGATATTACTATTCTGATTCTGCTCATAATGGTGTCCTTTTCAAGATAGAAAAGGATTTCGACGCGCAATATGCAGAATCAAATATTATAAATTCACATAGAAATGTAGCCGAGAGATATTCTTAAAAATGAAATTATAGAATTCTGTTAAAACTAATAAGAAATGGCATAATGAAACTAATCTTTTCGCATCTAATGGCGTCAAATGTAT